CGCTTTGCGTACAAAGCGACACGCCGCGACTTGAATTATCAATGTCGCCGTTCATCGCGGGCCAATTTATTCAATTTTTAACTTAAATTAAAAACTATAATATTAATTAATTTTATGTATTACCAATAAGGTTACGAAATGTATTTAATAACACTTAGGTAAATATTTCTTAGAGTATGAAGAGCGTGACAGACAGATCTTTAAATACATAAATACATATATACATATATATACAGTGTATATAGAAAAAGTAAGAAATCTGTGAATAATAATCCTCATAACTTACAAGTTTTTAATAAAATTAGTTTAATAACTATCAACTTTAGTTATTCGATTAATATGATAAGTCATTCCTTGGATAGTCTCTAGTTTAATACATTAACAAAATTTATATAAAGTTTTAAATATTATATTTAAATTTAATACCTTTAACGACAAAACTGTAACGTAATTTTACTTTTTACAACTTTATTTAATAGTAAAATACACTAATTAAATTAAATTGAAGTCGAGTTTATGATCAGTTTTAAGAGTTAAAAATCGAATTAAGTGTAAATTTATGCATATAATATTTAAAAATTTTAAAGATGTTAAAGAGGGAAAAAATTCTAATATAATAATTACATTTATAAAATTATAAATTCAATTTTCCATCGATTTAACTCGAGACGAAGGAAAAAATCAAGCTTCTCTGCAGAGTTTAATTAATTTGCAGGAAAGCAATCATCCCAGGGGAATTATTTGCTGAATTTTAAGTATCGAAAGTAGCACGTTATATTTTTGTAGAAAAGTTTTATAACGTGTAAAAAAATAATAAACAGTTAATGAACGATAAAATTCCTTCTCTTTATTAAAATCATAAACCATTTTTTAATTAAAATTAAAGATTAATTTATCTATAATTGCAATCATTTTGGTAAATTTTATTAAAAAATAAACATCATTTTATAAATATTTAGTGGCGATAAAATTGTAAAAGACGTTGTTAACGCTGCATTTTTTTTTATAACTGAACTTCTTAGAAAAATTTAAACATTCAATATCGGCTGCAGATGAGGAGAAAATAAAGTTTAGGAGCGAGAAAAAATTAAAAAGAAACGAGATAAAATTCGTAAAATAATTTTCCTCCAACTGTTAATCATATAAATTTATATACTTTATAATAAAAGAACTACTGAATTATCAGCTATAAATAAGCAAAGTTTGATGTTGAAACTAACTTAAAATGATTTTTATTAGAAAGGAGAAACATTAGAAACGAATTATAACATTTTTTCGACTTATTTATACGCCATAAACGTCTGAACTACGGAACTAACTTTCTAGAAAATTTATAAAATACATTTAAACTGATCGACGATCAATAACCAAAGGGAAAACACTTCATCCTTTGAAAGATAATTGTTAAGTAAGCGACTCGTCAAATGAAAATTTAAAATATTTTCATCGTAAAAATTATCGTCGCATTCTTTCATTTGTAATTGTATTATTTATTATAGGAAAATAATATTTAAATAAATATTCTTAATATTATAAAATTTCTCTTACGTAAATTCCTTTTCTGACGTCATTTGTCCTTGTTTATGAAACCTGTCCTGGTTATTCGTTTAACGTAGAAGCCGGAGATATCATCTCCGGCATCTTACATTATTCACATTGAAAACTACTTTTATTTCGTATTTGGTGAGTACAAATAAAATTAAGTTATATTTAAATACGTCGTTTAGCAATTTATAAGAGTAGGTAATAAGTTAAATCCTCTTTAACTTTACTAATTTCTCTATAAATAAGTAATTCGATCGATTGATTTTTATAGTTTTTTATCAATAATTTTATTGGATGTAAGTCGTTTAAGGTATATTAAATTTATATTGCACGTTTTATGGGGATTTATCAGTGGATTTAGACTTAAATTTAGTTGTAATTATATAAAGAAAAGCGTTAATATAAACTTCATACACTCAATGTTAATTGTGAATACGAGGCGCCGCAATTTTGGTTTAAATTAGATGAGACATCTTATATTTAAGAGAAAAAAATTAATTACTTCCGTTTCCGGTGTTAAATCGTTTTTAAAATCTGTAAGTGTCATTACGTGAAGATGCATTTTTAATACAAAATCTTTCGTTAAGTGATTTTTTTAGTTATGGCAGGTGAATTTAATTGACTAAAAAAAATGTATATCTAAATTTTGAATAGGGTCAAATAGATAATTTATATTGTGTCAGTTATTAGTGTTACTCAAGCAATGTTATGGGAAGGTTGTCATAGAGACCGATCCAAAAATAAATATGTAACATATTTAATCGATTAATAGAAAAATATCGATTATTTGATTGATAAAAACGAGTGATTTTTGCACTGATTTATTCAGAAATATGCGCTTAAAAATTATATTTATCGTCCACATATCTGGATATAAAACGTCTAAATAGAATATGTTGTTTAGTAAGGAGTGTTTTTTAAATGATGATTCTGAGAAAAGTGTTTTGCTTGAACGTAATTCAAGTTGTATATTAACGAAAATCGATAAAGATGCACCTGTCTTGTACTGAAAAACATCTTTCTCGTCGAACAAGTTAGTTTTCTTAATTTCATAGGCATTATCTCATTAAATTTTTATTAATTTTGGAAAATAAAGTTACAAGTTACTAAATTCAAAATGTGATTCTGCTCTAAAACTATTATTAAAGTCTTTTTCACTCCTATTTCAAGTCATGTTGATCTGAATTATTTAGAGATCAAAGCCTTTACTTTAACAAATTTATGAAATTCCGATAATACGTACAATAATACAGAAAATAATTATTTGATAGTTTTAAAACGTGTTCTAGATTAAAACATGCAATGATATGACATGCAAAAATTGCATTAAAGCGTACAGTACATAAATTATATTATATTTACGATAAAAAATATAATTTAATATATTTTATTTCTATAAATAAGTTAAATTATTTTATTAGCATAATTAATATAGAGAAATGCAGCAAAAAAAACCCTATCCGAATATTATTAATTAATTATATTGCTACTAAGTAAGACTAAACACTTCAAAATTCTTCTCTTCTTGTATGCATCAACAATGATAAGTCAAAAATACATTATTATATTAGAAACATTAATGATCTAACACAATTATTCTATTTTTTATAATGGAAAATGATGTTACTTTAGCACGGCAATGATCAAAAAATAAATAAATAAAACTGCAAACACGGTAATTTTTTTGTAGTTTTTTATTTAATATTTTACATTTACATGAAAAATATTCATGAAATATTCCTATTTTAAATAAAAATGGCGATTCTTAGTACAATTGAAACTAAAGCTTAATTATTTTTGAAGTTTCAATTGAACATTTGGGGATTGGTCATTGCATTTGTCACTTTTTTTTTTTTTAAATTGGTGAACTTTAGATAAAAGTTTTGCCTTTAAATTACTCATAAATTTTCTTACAGTAAAATAATAACCATTTAATCTAAATATAAAGTATATCTTTATGAAAAAGTTTTTATCTGAGACAATTTAAATTGTAATAAATTATCCTGTCTTAAGGTATGTTGTTATAACAATAAGAAAAAAGTAACTAAAATTATTTTCAGTATTAATTATATTTAATTTTACTTTCTAAATACGAAGTTAAATTTTTACAGATTTTAAAGATTAAGATATAAATAATTTTATCATTAAAAACATGTAATTTCTAGAATTATTTCTAGAAATTCTATTTTTAATACTAATTTTATATGGCAAAAAGACAAGGATTTAAATAATTTTTATATTAAAGTATTAAATGTTTAAAATTATATATTTTACAATTCAGAATAAACAGAAAAAAAAAACAAAAACATTAGCAATTCAATTAAACTATTATAGTCTTGAAAATGGCCTTATTAATAAATACTAAATTACAAAACCTTATCAACATCACCTTTTTTTAAGTAATGATTAAGGAACAATGTATAAAATAATAAAAAAAACAATAATAAAATAATACTGTTATTTCTTTATAAAATATACACAATCATGTATTAATTATTTAAATTTTTTTTACTACAGTTACAATGTTATATTTTTATACGGTTTTAAGTAATGTTTAACCTTGCTTTAATTCAATTAAATTGCTTTCATTTAGTACTTTTAATTTATAAATTTATTTTTATTCAATCAATTTATATTTTCTACGCAAATATATATATATATATATACTGTATAGATAAATATACACTTTAAAAAATATTTTGGTTTCTTTCAGACATTTATATTTTTATAATACTAAATATTTAATAATTTAATCAGTTTATAATATTAGAGACGTATATATAGTTCTAAACTATATTTTACTAATATTTATAATATTTTTCTTGTTATATACGAATACAACCGATGTATCATCGTAATTTGAACTATTACATAGGATTTATGAAAATAAACCAATCAACATTTCCAAAGTTCGTACATTTCAATTCCAAGGACCAATTATTTCAAGGTAGACCTTGAAATAATTGGTCCTTGGAACTGTTTATCGGCTTGTTTTTTTTTTTTTTATTTCAGGTTATACTTTTGCCTTAAATTTCCTCATTTTGTTTTCGTTTTACTGATTAGATATAATTTATAAAAGTAAATTAATCTTAAGCGGAATTTACAACGCGCTCGCATTGTTCAGTTTTCAATATCTCTTTTACACAAAAATATATTCATTCTACATGTTTATGGAACTTTTTAAAAAATATTCACCGAAATCTTTTTTGCGTGTGCAAATATATTTGAGATTTTTTTTTATTATTCGAATACATTTTTATATACAGTATGCATTTTCCGCCATCAATCTCATTCTTCAACGTACTGTACAGATAAGAAAAAGTAGAGAAGAAATAAATATAAAATTATATAATAAATAAATAATTTTTAATTTTATAATAATATTAATAA